GCATGATTTCATTAGAGGTCCATCACTCTTCACAAGCAGCTATTTCTTTTGGGTTGCAGGGAAACAGCCTGAAGAGGTTTCACTTATGATTTTGCTCTTCTCCAATTTAGTTAGTTCCCAGAGTGAACTCCGTGGCGTGGCAGTACAAAGGGTCCATTTTGCCTAATCAACATGGTCTAGGCTTACCCTTAGTGACATGTAATCTGGGGTTGGTTTTTCCAGTTTCTTCAGCATCTGATCATTTAGCCAAACCACTGGCATTGTGACCTCTTGATATGAAAGAAAAAGACTCGCAAAATGAAATTTTTTCACATCACCTTCTCATGAATTTTCTACCTTCATCGGACTAGAAAAACTTTGAACAAGTTTCGTTTTGGAATCTTTTACCAACAAAATTTATCACTGAATCACTTGGTCGTGTTAAAGTTCAACAAATTTTGCTACATTTAATTCAACTGTTTGTATGTATTTCATCGAGAGGCAGCTAATTTCACATGAGAGTGTTATGGAATCTTAGGATATACCAACGGGTCTGAAAAAACATTCATTGCTCATTAGAGGTCTGTCTGGGCTGAATGACAGTCAAATTACAGGATCACATAATAATCTGCTCCATTCTCTTTCGGATATGTATGAAATCTATAGTGGCAGAAATCAGGAAAAATTTTTGTTAGACAAACTGGAACAGTATAAATTATTGATTCTAGCCTGTAAGGTTGTCATGTAGGAGCTGTCAACTAGGAGGCCAAGTTGCCACCAGGAGGAACAAGGTAGAGGCCGATCTGGTGACTAAGAGGAATTCTTCCTTCTACGATGCAGTAAGCGGTACTTTATAGCCAAAGTGTTCAAAAGTAGCAAATACAACGCACTTCACAAACCAGCGAAGGTCGGCTTATGCAAACAGCTGGAGGTAGTGATCCTAACAAATACTGTTACCAATGAGGTGGATGATTTTTAGGAAAAATTTAGGTCCAATTACCTCTATAGCTGCCTTGTACACTTTCGTTGCATCGGTAAATGGTAATGGCCTAAGATACGTGAATTGTAGCTGACATTAATTGACAGAAACACTCCGTTGTTCAAACAAAGAATTTGGCTCTGCTTTTCCAAATGGTCCTACTCAGTTTAGAAGGGACTTCTTTCCATCAGTCTAGCGAACTCAACATCCTGATTATCCTGTTCAAATGATCACCTCATTATTCTAAGAATGTGTTTAATAACATAAATAATTCGCTAGTCTTATACTGCTAAACCTAATTTGAGGTTACTTAGTCAGCTATCAGATGAGTCAAGACAACTTGCTGCTGTAATGGTTAGGCATCAGAAAGAAAAGACTTAAGTCTTGCAAGTTCTGGCTTGATCACGTCATCAGAACACCATGCTGTCCCAACTTTTCGCAGGTCAACGAACTGCTATCGGGGTCGTTCCAAAGCACGGTGGCGACAATTCTTTGCTCTAGGGAATTAGCGAAATTCTGATTCATGCAGTTAGAAGCAACCATGAAACTTTCCCAGTGTTTGGCAAACGGATATCACTGGAAAAGGCTGCTGAAGCTGTTGCTGCCACGGCTAGGAATGATCAGTGGTCTGGGTAGATGAGAAAATGAATGAAATTACTCGTTACTATGAACTCAGCCAGTGGACGAGCAGCAAACCATCTCTGAAATGTCTCTCTCATCCAAAGTGCATAGCTCGCTAACAGATTCGACGACACTCTAGAAAATTTGGCATGAACAACTGTTAATAAAGTTATAAGTTGGAAGCTCATGTAGCAACATAAGCCAGCGACTCTTTGCGGTTTTCTGTGCAGTGCTAAAATGGCTAAAATTAAGTTAAAATAATAAATTATTGTCAAACATCACGTAATAATTACATGAATTGAGTATCCGACGACCATAGGATGGATTGTAATTATTATCTCTTCCAAGATGCCCATGGCCATACCGACCAGACCTTTCCGGATACAGGCATATATTTCCCGTCACAGTACCGCAGCACTTTCGGTCGCCAGGGCAGTCGCTGTCCCGGTAGCAGTTGTCACCTGCACCTTGCGAACGGTGACTGTAGCCTGGACACTTTCCAGGCTTATTGTCGTAACGATCGTGTCGATGATCTGGATAATACGAGCCACCTAAAATAAGCTTAGCCATTCACAAAACACTGAACGTTCTCTGCTACATCAAAAGTCCTGAAACTTATCCTTGGATTATACCCGTAATCCGTCCTCCAACTTGTCCTCATCATGGATGCTCCATGAAGGCAAGTCGACGCTCTTCCAACATTCTGTATTTTCCTCTTTTATGCCTCCACCGCCCAGTTCTTTGCTCATTGGATCATCCCAGCATACTATTGGGCGACCGACTAAGCACTTGTCGTTCAGCGGAACCACGTTTGTAGTTCTTGCCGTCCGTCGGTTGTCCTACGGGCAAGCCATTTAATGGGGTTCACATTTTCTCCATGGCCTGTTTCCGACTTGTGATTAGCCTGAGGCCCGTTCGAATACGGTTGAGACTTTAATGCGGATGAAGATTGTGTAGGTTTGTGACAAGATTGTAACTGGTCGATAGTTCCTGAGGTCTTCTGAGTCGCATATCCTAATTAGAATAATCGTTTTTGACACTTTCCGCATTTTATGCGTCTTGTTTTGGTTGATAAGCCTGAAACGCTCAGCGTTCAGGATTGTTGACGCTGGACATTTGAAATTTTTCATGTTTCTGATTGCCTTGCCCATTCAACTTCGTCCCAACTGACTTCGAGAACGGTTTCTGGGCAACATCTGGAAAATTCCGAGTCACTCCTACTTTGGAAGATGCAGGCTGTTGTAGAACCCTGTGCAGGTCGCGTTCATCCGATTGCTATTACTAGTTCTTGATTTTTTTCGACTTTCAGCAGCACTCTCATTTTCCTTTGTTTAAAAAGAATATCTTATACCACCGCCTTGAGTTGTTCTTCCCTCCGAAGCTGCTCTTAGCCAAAATATCCTGTAATTTTCATAGTGTCCCCTGCATTTCTCACAGTGCCGCTTACAAGTTCTCCCTTTTTCATGTTCAGCGTTCAGTTCCCTCTTTTAACCATTAGATGTCTTGCTGAAGGGCTGATAAGTTTCTGTCTGGCTAAGTGTTCCTAATGTTTGGATGGCATTGATAAAATGGTCATAATCCGGATGTGTGCCTTCGTTGATGTTAACTAATGACAGTTTTTTGTGAAAAAATAAAACTGGACAGAACTGTTGTTCAGAATTTTTGGGCTCTTTTGTCCCGTTCTTCTTAAGCGACATTGGTCGTTATTGTGGTACTGTAAAACCAGTGGTCTGAACTGCACATATGACATTCCCTTTATGACTGACACGTCCCGTCTTATATCATTCCCTTCTTGCTCATCAGAAGATAGTCAGCTCGGCTGAAAGACTTTCCATCTGGGCTTCTCCATGTCTGTTATAACCTTGAAACTTTCTCCAAAGTTCTCTTACAGAAAGTTGCGAAACGATCTGCAAGTTCATGTGTTTCACTGTTACCGTATTGGCCGATAAATATTTGCGTCGTTGGTTCTTTCCGTGATCACCGCATTGAAATCTCCTTAAACTGTCGTGCACTTGTCCAATTTTACAGTATGCCTTGCAATTTCTTGTTAAACTGTTCGGTCTTTTCCTCATCAGCTTGCTGGGTTTGGCAGAAACCTAGAATCATACCTGCGGAAATGGAATTGTCATACGAATTCGTATAACGTCATAGGCTTCCCATTTATGTACAAAACGACGTCGGTCCGAACTCCGTTCGAAAAGGTCTTCCTGCGAAAGCCTTGATCACTGCTCTTCCTTTGTGCCACAGGTGCAGCAGATCTTCCGGTCTCGCATACTCAAATGACATTCGCCTGGGTCATCTCCATTTCGGTGTGTAGACGTCGATTAGTGTGTCTCTCTATAGTGTCCCAGTGGCTGGTCACGAAGACCTAAATGGCATTCCAGGCCGGTTTGCGAGTCGCTCCTATGGTTTACTGAGTTCCGGTGTTGTTCAAGTCGACTGTAGCCTGCATCTATTTTTCGGGTTTCCGTTTAGTTTTGAGTGCTGTTTGGCGAGTAATTGTTTCACAGTTCATTCCGGATGTCAAACATCGGTAACTATTTCCAACAAATCTCTTGTTTTTTATCAAACCTAACAGATTAAGAGAAATGGAGTGCTTTTTGAGGTTTCTGCCACGGAAATATATTTTTGGAGAGTGGCGGGTAGCGCCACTGTCTTAATTGCCGGAGACGGCTCCCTCACCATTTCCAGACCCTCACGTATCATAATGTGATATTCAGCTACAAATTATCATATGATTTGTGGTGATAGATGCACAGTTACGACTGGTGCCAATGACGAAAATAAAATCATGTAACTGAAAGAATGTGAAAAATTGTAAATGGCAACTGTTATGATAACACTGTAGGTAGAACTGGTCTTGATGCCAGCGAATGGATTTGCATACGTGTTTTCTGACACCATTGATGGAGCTCGGTAACAATGACAGAGTTTGGACGATTATAAGTAAATATGACAATATTTTTTCACTTACCACCATCTGGATATACACAGACATTTTCATTAGTGTTCCACTCATGGCAGCAAACTTCTGAGAAGGAACAGTCACGGTCGTTGTAGCATCGCTTGAAGCTGCCACGCATTGCAGAACTCGAGTGAGGACACCGACCTTAAAGCCAAATTGAAGAATTTAATCATATAAATAAAGAACATATATAAGAACATATATGAATGTTGATTCTTTCTGGCGGCACCTGCGCTCAACGTAGAAAAGGGCATTTATGGCATGATAAAACATGTCAAATCTGATATGCACGTGTTCTTCAATCAACTCGTCAGTTTTGATGACTGCAGTCGACAATGATTATGGTGGGGGCGATGATGATAGGAATGAAGATGAGAAATGTAACGTTAATCATGAAGGCGATCGTGATGATTTCGAGGATGATGACTTGATTATGATAAGGGTTAGAATAACAGCATAGAGTACATAACATTTCAAAAACAGTATCCTACAGTTGCTTATCAGAACTGTTCTGAGCATTAGTGCCGCTTACAAATTTTTGAGATTATTTTTTGCGGTCTGAATTCAGCGAATTCAGTCACCTGAGCTAGAAGTTTTGTGCATTCTAATTAAATGATGAAAAATTTTGCCCCAGGTTGTTTTTATTTCTCGGCCGCCTTAACTATCATACAGTATGATTGCTACTAGTTCAAAAGAAGTCCGATATTCGCACATCCTCAGGCATCTCCGTTTTTTTCGCAAATGAAGTGCAACCGCGTCGTCAGCACCCGTGTTTTATTTTCAATAACGTGGACCCGCTCAAGTTGCCACGAGACGTTCTTTGTGGCGATTGCCACTTCCGAGTCATTTCATAAAAATCATCGTGTTGCGTTTGTCCTTGCACGTTGTCATTCGCCTATTCAGCATTGAGTGTTTACGACTGCTCTATCACACGGCGTTGATGACGTTTCCTACGGCATTCTAACGGCAGCATCTTTCCTTATCCAACGAAGACCAGAAGAGGGCGTAGTAATTGAATATCAGTACTGATTTCATTATTCTGTGGCACATATCATAGGATGGTGCATAAAACGGCATGGAACGACTGCAGTCTTTCTGGGGACCAATTGCTTCAATTAAGAACATGTTGCATATTCCGTGCGTGGGTCATACATTCTTTGCATACTGTTGTTCTTGATGATGTCTTGATGCAAAATTATACAACGAACGACACTCTGTATGAATTTCGTATAGCTGAATATTTTACCAATCCACTAATGTCATACTTGGCTCTGATAGCTGTCAAGCTTAGTATATGTATTTGACATCGACATATTAAATGCGTGCCCCTCCTCAATGCCTGATATTTTTTACTCATAACTATTATATTGAAAATGCTAAACATTTGAACATGGTATAACTTCAGTGCTCGATGGTTGCCACTAAAAATGATGGCCTCGCCTTTCTGCCGGTAATTAAAACACTTCAACTCATAATACCTGATTTGTTCAATGTAAGAGTTCCACCGCTTTGCTTCTAGAAGCCTAAGGAAACCATTTAAGCAGACCACAGGCTCTCGATAACTGCAACGCACTTCTGTTCCAGCATCAGGTGAATTCGCTACACCTTGTGACAATTTTGTTTCGTATGTGAACGCATTACATGTATGGTATGGTGCTCAAATACCATGGAGTCATCACCGACTTAAGCAGTCCCCATCTCGCTTAGAGGAACGCCTAGCAAGCGCGTTAACGTCATTTGGAAACGTTTGTACTCGAAAATTCTTTATTGGCAACCTCGTTCAGAGGCCTCGTAAGCAACGTTAACGGCATCGGGCTGAACAAGGATGCGTAAGTCTTCTGAATCAGCTTTGTTTCAGGGAATGACATGTCGATCATGCATCGAAACCAGTAATCACAGTTTTCCATATCAATAACCCCTAAGCCGGAGCTATGTTCAGCTTAATGCTTGGCGAACAAACCTTGCATGTCTAGGAGGAGTCACCTCTTGTCAGACCCTGAGATACTGGCAATGTTTAAACCGTGTCAAGGCGAAAATGAGGAACAGAGTCTGCATCATTCGGAAGCTGGTTGGTACAAAATGCTGTGGAGGTCAACCCAAATTTTGCTGTTGACGACTACGAATCAATGCGCATCAGTGTGATGAAGCAACCGCCAGCATCGTCCTTAGATGGTGAAATAACTGCCGCACTCCTTCAAAGAACGCCTTTCTTTCGTTAACTGTCCTGGTGAAAATCGCATCAAGTTCCATCAAGCGAAGCACTTTTACAATCCTTGAATATGAAAAGATTCTGGCATATCCGGACATATCAATTCATCGTTAAATCTGTCTGGCTTTATCAGTTCGTTTAAAATCAAGGCATTTTTTTTGGACCTACGAGTTCTGCAGGCGGACTGAGGAAAAGCCGCTGAATTTAATCTGGGATAGATGTGACATTCATAAGAATAGCCATAGTTTAAAAGAATATACCGAGGTACTGATTATCAGACAAGGATGGACACATTAAATCGGATTGATAATTAAACCATTCCAATAATTTGGCAGGTGTAGTTACATTCACCAGAACTGAAAATTCCGCACCGATAAGTGAATGATTTGGTACTCTGTACGAAATGTAGTGAAGGCGATTCATAAGGGACCACTGTCGCATCTATGCCAACCGCTTTGGAACCAAGACAATACATTTGGCCACATTAGTGCAGCAGAATGGTTATCGAAACTGCTATTAGAACTATAACAACATTCGCTCGTTGTTCTCTCATACGAATGTAGATGAAAATTCCT